AGCTGAGAATATCAAAAATAAAACTGTTGGGAGAAGGTTATGCTCATCTTCTTATTAGACTGTCAGACAGTAATCTTAGGTTTCAGAGTTCTAGGAGAAACCCTGGGTTAAATTAGCGAACTGATAACCAGCTTTGTGTGCCAGTTCGGGGAAAGCAAATACAGAAAACTGACCTACAAACCCACAAATGCACAGATGAACCCCACGCCGTTTTTAAAATCTGAAAAACCAGTCAAAAAGAACCTGAGAGCAACGTGCCTTGTCTATGATGCCATCAATTTTTCCTTCTTCCACTGTCTTCTTGATGGTCTGGGCAGTCTCCACCATTGAATCAGAGATTTTCTTGGTGGCACTGGAAGCAAAACTGAAGATGTAACCTTCAAATGGACAAAGAGTCTGTTAATAAAACCATTGCCACTGCAATAAAAGATACATATATGACAGAACAGATTCTCCTGCAGTCATATTTGCTCTTGCTGGAAGTGAAGAAAAAACAAAAAAGATGAACAGGAAAGCCTTCAGGGCTCAACACAGACAGAAAGACTAACGTCACGCTGAGTAACTTTGAGCACGTAGCTTAGAGTTAATTAAGAGTTAGTCATCCAGATATGAGCTGTTCCTCACCGCCGAGTCCCGTGGACTGGTCCGAGTTTTCCTGCTCCGCCTCTGGTGTTCCATCCTGGTCAGCTGGCTGCTGTTTGTTTACCTCGGTTTGTGCTTCTACCACCTTCTCTTCCTGCTCCACGTTCAGCTTTTCCTTGTCAACCGACGTCTCCGTAACGGTCGGGCCCTCCAGACCCAACCACGTCCCTAAACCTTTTAACATGCTGGTGGAAAAACACCGATCGATTAGATTAAAGATACGGAAAAACAATCTGCACGGACTCTCCTGACTATACAACCAGGAAATAAACTGACGTTTTCTTCTTCTGCGTTCTCGTGTGTGCACTCGTGCGATACCGCCACCCGGAGGCCAAATATGGGAAGTCTGGTTTGATGGGTTGTTGTTAGTGCTATGGTGAAATATATGAATAAAAAAAGAGCATTTATCAGTAAAAACTATCACGAAAGTGTTGCATGTTGAAAGATCTATACCTTTCCTAAAGTAGAAAGATGGTACTTATAAAGTACGTGCTCATTGTTGGCAGTAGAGGAACTACTACGTTATAACGCAACATCCAAAAGAAGCTGCAGGTGGCGGTAATGAGCTGAGATTTGTTCCACTTTTTGCGGCAAAGCAAGATAAGGAGAAGGAAGATAAGGAAGATCGGTGAATTCCTGACGGAGGACTCGTACCGGTAATTTTGCAATTGCTCAAAAATTTACATTGTTATTATGTGTTTTATGTGTATTTATCTTGAGTATAGTTTACTACAGTTTATTACAGAAAGCTATGTAATCCCAGTCACGTGTCTTCAGCACGTTAGGGACCGTTGTGACTGACTGACTAGCTCTACCCGTGGGCTGTTTACTTGTAAGGGGACGAGTTTACACCATACTTCCTTTAAAAAATAAGGCATTTAAAAGTTCGTTAGTTTTAACGTAGTTTTGATGGAGAAAAGAATAATAAATATTGTTAAATAAATGTTATTTGACATGTCAAGTAAGGATCGGCTTTAATGGGAAGGGTAATTTTTAAGAAGCGGAAGTGTGGGCTCAGTTACTTGTGTTTTGAGCTGATAAGACGTAAATAGACCGGTTGAAAGCAGTATCGTTATCAAACGAAATAGTAGAAGGGTGGAGCTTAAAAATAACTATTATCTTATCTATCTATCTTAATTTATTTTAAGTTAGTTTTGTGTGTTATTTTGCTTTTAAGGTGACAAATGAAGATTCTGATGGTGTTTGATTTTGACCACACCGTGGTCGATGCCAACAGTGACACTTGGGTGGTCAGGTAGGTCAAGAAAGTTTTACTTCAGCTCTTTCCAGGTTTCTTGTCATCTGTATGTATTATATTGACAAAGATTTTCCTATTCTTCGAGCATAATATCAGTTCCTCATGTCTATTGCACTGCTCCCGCTACTACTCTGTAATTACTGTTTTATACTAGGACCTTAATACACCATTAAAGAAACACTATAGCTGATTTATCCTGATTTATCTTATTTATATATTCCGTGTGTCAGGTGCCTTCCTGATAAGACACTTCCTGGCTCTGTGGAGAATTCGTACAGAAAAGGCTACTGGACTGAGTACATGGGCAGGGTGCTGAACTACATAGGTGAGTCTGTCATGCTGTTTGTTTTTGTTTTACTACTTCCTGAAATCTGCCTTCAACATTTTCTAATCTATGCCCGCAGGGGAGCAGAAGGTGAGCCCAGACAGGGTTCGCAGTGTGATGGAGACCATCCCCTTCACAGCTGGAATGACTGAGTTGCTGACGTTTATAGCAGAGAATAAAAATGCCATTGACTGCATAGTCATCTCTGATTCCAACACCTTGTTTATAGAATGGATTCTCCATGCTGCAGGACTCCAGGCAGCTGTTGACAAGGTTTTTACCAACCCAGCTAAGCTCAATGAGTTGGGCCACGTTGAGGTGCAGTGCTATCATTCTCACGCCTGTGATCAATGCCCTGTCAACCTCTGCAAGAAAAAAGTCCTGGAGCTTTACCTTTCTGAGCAATCTGATGCCGGCGTGGAGTATGAGCAAATCTTTTATGCAGGGGATGGGGGGAATGATCTCTGCCCTACTTCCTGTCTGAGAGGCCGTGATGTTGTGATGCCAAGAAAGGGATACACTCTGGAGAAGCTGCTAGCCAAACTGGAAGGTCAGGAGGGCAACTTTTCTGTAAGAGCTAAAAACATTGCCTGGAGCAGTGGCACTGACATTCTCCGGGAGCTGAAAGCAAGCATGCAGTCGTAGCCGTGGCACATGAAATATTACAAATTTTGAGCCTGCACTGCAGGATGCATTGTGCTGCCTGTATTCTTTTTTTTTCATATTATAATTCAACATTTTAGAAGATTTTATGAAATTTTTAACTTATTTAAAACGACATAATTTGCACATGTAAACTTGTCTTTTAAAAAGGTTAATTTGTCTGCAGGGAAATTTACCTTTATCTTTTATCTTCATGATCTTTACAATTTTTCTAATTTTCCGTGGTGATCGAAAATCGAGGCGCCTGAAACCACTAACAATACATAGGCAGTGTGTCACAACAGCAGCTTTTACATGTGCAGTGTATGTTAAATACTACGTAAGAATTCAGTTAAGATTATATTTAGTATAGTATTCAAGATCTCAGTTGTTGGGGCTGATCCAAGAAGCAGAGATGAACCAGCAAGTTAACTTGATCTGATAAAGTAGAAGTCAGGGAAATTTCTGAGCAGATTTGAGACATGGATTAATTTTAGTCCCAGACTACAAGAAAAATTGAAAGATGTCTCCATTGAAATGTTTCTGGACTAGGGTTTCTAGAAAGGTTCATGTTAAAGGCATTTTGTTAAACTGAAAACCTTAAATCAGTGTACTTCATGCAGTCTGCACTATATCTGGCCACGGTACTGTGCAAAAATATTGAGCCACCCCTTATTTCTTTATATTTTGGTGGAAAGATAGAAAATTGGTACACCAGTTTATTGAAACATGTGGAAACATGCATTGAAATTAAGTATATATATAACAAAAACAGCATTTTTCTACAGTTATAAACATAAAAAGTCAATATTTGATATGAACTTTACTTTTCAAAATTTTAAAGTTATTAATTTATTTAATTTTTTATTTTCCCCAAACCACGAAAGAGCCTCCCGTTTTACACACTGACTGATGTGGATTTCTTCTAAAAACACTTTGGAAAATCAGCTCACTGGTACTATAATGCAAATTCATGCCTGCCAAACTGTCATCTTTGGTGTTTTTTACTACAGAAGTGGGGACATCGTTGTGTTTTTGTGACAGGCTGCTAATAAACACGTGCTAAGAATGGGCCAAAAGATAAAAAAAATTAATTCGTTCTTTGTTTTGTGGGTCTCAACACACACTAGCTCAATTTCCCAACCTTGGATTAAGCCTGGTGATTAAACTCTTTACTCAGTGAAAACCTTCACTGATTTTCTTTTCTTTCTTTTTAAAATTTTATTCATTTTGTGAGCACCAGACTCGGTCTGTGTTTGGGAAACTGGCTGACTGGATATATGTTAATATTTCCAAACCAATGAACAAACAATGGGTTCTGGATATTGCATTTAATTAAATTTGCTTTATAGTTTACAAATGTTAGTTGTCTTTTCACATTATGACTCAAAGCTTCTAAAGCACTCCTACTAACTTGAGTAATTTTTCTTTATGAATCTGAGAAAAACACTATACCAGTTCTTCCCCGCTATATTCTGTGTAAGACATTTTGATTTCTGAAAAGAAAAGCACTGATGTTACTGATGGCATTATGATGTGTTATATTTAAATGCTCCAGACAGTGTTACAGCATGCACCATACCAGGAACTTGAAACTGCCAAATGGCATGAAGTTGTCTGTCTTAGTGTAAACTGACTAAAAATACGTCTGTAAAAGGCGCATTACAATGTAACTAATACATACTTTAAATAAGGTGCTTTTGTCAACATTTTGAATGTAACATTTTTACATGAACTTACCTCAGCTGATATCTGGTTAAGAAAGATTGAATACGTTCCAGCAGTTTTTCTACAGTTGCAATTCTTTGTTTGGGGTGTTAGAAAATGCAGATGGACTCATTATTATAACTGGTCCTAAATGATTGTACTTGTTTAATGTTATTTCGCATTTAATAGAGCTGTGCTGCTCTACAGTTCTGAATCTTTGTGTTCTCCAGTATTGTCAGCTGTGTTTTACAGATCAGGTCTGTTTGATTTTTGAAAGCACGTTTGGATTAATGTGAGTAGTACATTAATAATATGTCTATTGGAGTGCATAAACCACCACTACCCTATAAGCTACATGAACAATATTCCATGTTTGTTTTTACCACGTTAACTCTGAAGTATCAAACAGCCTCATTTAGGATTTTGCTCAGGTTTCTTGTAGCCAGTATGTATTATCTGAATAGACTATTCAGTTCTTTATGTACAACTTCAACAGCCGTGCTCATGGAGACATATACATGTATATATGCATTGATTGACTTTCTGTTGCCACTGTCACAAGCCAGTTTGATAAAATAATATTGTGTGTTGTTAATGTGTAATTCCAATGATTAAATCAAATTAATTACCTCTTTGATTATTTTTTCTCAGGTTTTACTCAAATCCTTCTAGAGGCAAGTCTTACGTCTCACCAGCAGTGATAAAATATTGTGGCCATATCTTTAAAGTATTATCTCCAATATATTTCCAAATTAATGCAGTGCAAATATTTTCCACTGCAGTAATTAAGATGGTTTTGTAACACTGTGATGGTGAGGTGAGATTTCATTACATTGTGAGGTATTGCTTTAAATCGTGTTTCACAATGAGCAATTATACTAAAAATACTAAATGCAGTCCAATCGATTTTTGAGGGGTACTGACTATACAGACTGTCATAAATGGATGAAAACAAGCTTCTCGTCAGAAATATTAAATGAGAATGACAATTATTTTTATTATTTCTAATTAAGATTAATTGTTTTCCTAAAATCTAAAGTAATTTTACCACTCAGTGACAAATACAAAAGCTAGCTTCTAGACTCTCTAGATTAAAGGGTATACATGTAATACAAGCTGTACACAGACTACTTACATTATATCAAAGTGTCATATCCATTTCTCTATTATTTCTCAGTTGCAGTGAATATATGGGAGAAAATAAACTGTAGAAAACTAAACAGAAGAAATAAGAAGAGAAATAACAATTTAACATAAACCAGTGACACACTCCAGGACCTGATCAACCCTGGCAGGGTTGAAAATATAATTAATAGGAATAAAAAC